TTTACATAAATTTATTTAGAATTTTATTTATCAAGCATAATTTCCTTCAAGGCTTGCATATTCTTAAAGGCATTTATATTTTGTTGCAAACCACAAATAGATGAACTAAGCATAAGAACAATTAATATTTTACACTTCATGAAATCTTTGTGTCTACTTAAAATAATGTCCTAGATAGGCAGAGCTGAGAGCAGATGTGAGTATCCTTGTTTTAAAGATGAGAAAATTATATTTATAAAAAGAAAAATAATTTTTCTAGGCTCCAATAGAGTGGCTGGAACTCCTTGTGTTTGTTTGTTTGTTGGTTGGTTGGTTTGATTGGTTGGTTGGTTGGTTAGTTGGTTCTTTTTCATGGTCAGAGTAAGTTTTTACGGAAGGATCTAATATGTTGCTGCCCTCAATAGCAAGGTGTCCCTGTGCAGGCTGTGGAGTCTACTTGTGAATCAGGAGATAGTGTCTCAGACAAACCCAGTCAGTCGCACCTACGACAGATTTGTAAGCTGTTCTCTGAGGTACCTCGAGTGAGTTAGCCTAGTGATTTGAGAATAACACCCAGCTCAGGCCCAGAATGCCACACGCAGAGGAATATCTGGAAAGGACAAAATTGATTTTGATTCCTCTGATTCTGACTAAATAGGGTGGAAATAAGTACTACACTTACAATTTCCAGAGTAAAAACGATAGAAAAATAGCGACACACCTAAGGCAAGCTGCAAGCTAATAAAATAAGAGAAGAAGGAATATCAACATTTTGAAAACTTTTTCCCATTGTTCTAAATTAACCTAAGGTTCTTTCTGCATCTCCCTGGGGTGTGGGTGGGATGGGACTCAGGGCTTTTGCATTAGCCTATATCAAAAGCACTTTTCTTTTTTAATTTTCAGACATGGTCTTGCTAAGCCTGTATGTTGCCCAGGCTGAGCTGAATTGTGCAGTGCTCCTGCCTCAGCCTTCAGGATAACAGGCCTGTGTCACCACATCATCCTGGATTCATAGGAAAGAAACAAAAAACTGAAGGTATAACACAAGCTTCCTCCTGTCTCATTTCCATCCCTCTGTTTCATAACATGATTAATATTCTGGAATTGATGTTTTCCATTTGCTCCATTCAGATGTTATGACGTGTTATGTAACTTGGATTTTGTGCATTTTGAGCTGCACAAATAGTGGCACAGTAGAGGTAAATTGCTTTTTCCTTTTAGGTTTGTAATTCTGTGGTTTAGTCTGGGTGACACATATAAGTCTAGTTTGTTTGGTTTTGCAATACAATGCAATTTTCTTTTTTATTCCTGCTCTGAATGGCATTTATATTGTTTCTATCCCATTTTATTTCTAAAAGCAAGTGTGGAGGTTCCTTGCACCACGTCCAGGAGCTCTGCAAGGGTTCATAATTTTGAGCAGCACTAAGGGTTCGTAGAGCATAAACTTTCAACATTTTTCAAGTATTGACCAATTATTTCCTTCCACTACAGAGCAGGACAGTTCTCAGTTCCTATCCTCTCATACAGTTGAATAGTGCCCTCTTTCATTCTTGTAGAAGGTACAGTTTCTTCAGTGTTTTACTTTGTGAGATTGATAGTGTGAGATTAATTTATTTGTGAGATTCGGGATCTTGTCTCATTTTATTGGTCATCTGGTGTTATGATTTAGATCTAAAATGTCCTCGCAGTTGGCATGGTGGCCCATGCTTCTGAACCCAGCATTCAGGAGGCTGAGGCAAGAGGAACATCAGGAGTTGAAGGCCAGTCTGGGCTACATAGTGAGGTAAAAGCCAACCAGAGCTATATGGAGAGACCCTGTTCTAAGAACAACAACAAGAAGTGTCCTCCCTCCAAAGTTTCATATATTTGAAGGTGGGGCTTTTAGAAGTGATTGGATCTTGGGGTTGTCATTTGTACAGAATGTGATGTTAGAAAGTGAGGCCTACTTGGAAAACACCGGCCACTGAAGCACGACACTGCAGGGCATTTCCTTGCTCTGGGCTCCTCCTTTCTCTCCACTTCTGGGCTACTACCAGGTGAAGGCTTTCCTGTCTCTCCCTTTCACCTTGAGGTTTCTCCTTAAAGCCAGCTAACCATGGAATGAGCCCCCTGGAAAGAGCCCAATTAAGCTTTTCCTCCTTTAAGTTGTCAGTGTTATTTTGTCCCAGTCACAGGAAAGTGACTAATATATTTGTATCTCCTGTTTGGTGAAATTCTGATCTCATCCTTTGCCCATCACTTTTCCACTAGAAATTTTCGACTTACTTTTCATGTCAATTTAAACCTGTTCTTGTAGGTAATGGATGCCAATCTTTTTGTCTGGGTTACAGAATAAGACTAAAATTATAAAGAGCTCTGTGGGATATGGCTTATTTGAAAGATAAAAATAATAGTAAATCACCCTAAGGCCACACCATTTCTAAGTGTCTCCAAGACACCTGCTTTTCTCAGTCACAGAGGAGATTTTCTTGCTTCTTTTCTTTTCTTTTCTTTTCTTTTTCTTTCTTTCTTTCTTTCTTTCTTTCTTTCTTTCTTTCTTTCTTTAATTCTTTCTTCCTTTCTTTCTTTAATTCTTTCTTTAATTCTTTCTTCCTTTCATATTCTCTCTCTCTCTCTCTCTCTCTCTCTCTCTCTCTCTCTCTCTCTTTGTGAATTGAAGTCAGGACCTTGATTCCAACATGTTGCTAGACTGTAGTTTCTTTATTGGTTCAGAAATGTAAAACATTAAGATACCCTTATTAGTAACTATGACCTTTTATTCTTTTTCTCCTTGAGTCTTACTTAGAGAAATGTTTCCTACTCTAATATCTTAATTTCATTAGCCCCAACTTTTTCCTCAAAGTTTTAAATACTTAATTTTCATTTTCTGTCTGAACTTGGTTTTATATAAGTGCAAAGAGGTGAATTTAGTATTTTTATCCTATCATTTTTTTCTCTTGTACCATTTATTGGCTGGTTCAACTCTTACAACTGTTTATATGTCATTTCCCTTATTTTATAAAATTCCCACATATGTTTATGTGCATTTTATTTTTTTCTGTCCTATCTCATTGGTCTAGTTGGGTATCTTACCCTAGTACCAGGTTTTTTTGTTTTTGTTTTGTTTACATTGTAGCTATAAAAGTCCTGAAAGGTGATAGAGTACCCTGGTGGCTTTCCTGTAGTGGGGATCTGCCAGCCCATTATTCTGTTTCTTCTCTCAATCCTTTTCCCTGCAGCACTTATCATCGGTCATAACATATATCGTTTATTTATTTGTTCCATGCCTGACTTTCCCAGGAGACTATGAATTGTGAGAACAAAGTTTTATTTTATTTACTGTTCTGCCTGAAGTAACTAAAGAAAAATATTTCTTTAACGATTTAATACGAGAGAAATCATGTGTATTGATGAATAAGTGAAGGTATAGATGAATATGAGATATTAGCCAATTTTTTTATTTTGATATTAAATTTATTCTGGTTTCAAATATGAATTAGGCAGCTTTCAAACACTTTCTATGGATATATATTCCTTGGACTATGTCAAGGCCTAGTGGTTTCTTGGATAGATCTTGACAAATGATTTGATTTAATTAATGTTCTAATTTTACTTAAGTTTCTAAAAATCTTCCTGAGCTATTTTTCAGCAACTTGTATTTTTCTTATAAAACTGTCCTTGATGTATACATTTTTACATTAATTTGTGTCTGTCTATTATTGCTGCTGAAATAAATGAGCACTAATTTAGTGGCTTAAGACACCACAAATGAGGCTGGAGTTATAGCTCACTAGCACAGCACCTGCCTGGCAAACAGGACGTCCTGTGCTGGATTTCTAGTACCAAAAACAAACAAACAAACACACAGAAACGTATAGTTCCAGTGGTCAGAATCTCAAACAGCCGGCCAGCGCCTTTTGCTCCCGGTTCCTTCCTGCTTCCGGAGATCACTCACGTGCCCATAGAGGCTCTCACCTCCCACTCCTACGGTGGCGGCACCTTAGGATTGCAACGTGATCACCTGAATAACTCGTGTCACTCTTCGCATCTCAAGACCATCTGCAAACTTCCATATTCACAAGGATCCAATCAGGCTCCAAACATCCTTTGGAAGGCACATCTGCAGTATTTTTCAGTACACTTTCTCTAGTATCTCTGGATGTGTTGCCTTTACTTTTTCATTTTAGACCTGTGTATCACATCCTCGATCATTTTCTCCTAACCAGTTTGTCTGTTTGTCCATCAGCTACATCCTGACAGCTATGACAGACTAATGAATATAGTCTAAAGGTCGGAAGGACATGGCTGGGGGAACAGGGTCTGTCCAAGTGAATTTTCCCCCTTCTGTCGTTTCTCAGGACTTCACCGATCAAAACTACTCATGCTCTGGTATGGTTGGAAACAACCCCTGAAAGGATGCGTCCGAAGTCAATGGTAAAGGCGAAGGTACATTCTGGCTGTTTTTATTTTGCATCCTACTCTTTCTTCAGGAGAGAATTCTCTCAGCTCGCGTCTCAGCCCCGGGGAGTATCTGAAGAGTTGATCTCCTCACTTTACACTCCCTGGTGTCTAAGGCCTGGGCATGCGCACCGCCCTCGCTGGTCACCCGAGGACGACGCGCGGATCTCATCCTTTTCCTCTCTCCTGGGTCCCCTTTTCTCTCCGCCCCCCTCCCTGTACCCTACCCTAGCCCCGCCCCTTCATCCCCGCCCCGGGACCGGCTGGGCGGGTTGCTCCTTCTGGGGATTAACCTGGAGAGTACGTCCCCCGCCCACCAGTCGGCCCGCCCTCCTTCCCTCACGGCTCTAAACGGCTTGAATGAAACGTGAGAGGATTTAGTGAGTGGTAAACCACCAGGGGATCCCGTCTCCCCACAAACCGGAATCTCGCCTTGGAGGAGAAGGAGAAGAGGGAGGAGGCAAAGAGCGGAGCTTCGGCTCGCGGGCGCGCGCAGAGGCTGGAGCCGCCGGGCCACCTCCCCTTCCCGGCCGCGCACCGCCTCGCCCGCGGCGGTTCCAGGCACCACGCGCTCCGCGGGTCCCGCGGTGCAGGCGATAGCTCCTACCGAGGAGCAGCTCCCTCTTCCCTCGCTGCCCCCCTAGAGTCCCATCTGCGCAGGGGCACTGGACCCCGCAGCCTGTGCCACCCCCACGTCATCTTGGAGCTGGTGGGCGAACTACTTTGACGGTGGTCGTGGGTTTAGAATGTGGCTTCTTGGCATCGGTAGCCTTTAAAGAAACTAGGCTGGGTGGGTCGAGACTTTTCCCGGCGCACCAGCCCTGGGTCTGACTGCAACCTGTTTCCAGAGATCAGGGAACGGGATTGTGACTGCCAGTCGTCTGGGGGAGGGGGACTTGCTTCTCTTTCTCTCCAGAGACGTCGGCTTGGCACTGGATGAAGCAGTACCGAGAGGATGTAAATAGGCAGAGCAACTGTTACTGAGAAGGCAACCACTACTCAAAGCCAGGGAGGAGCGCGGGGCTTCGTCCGGATTTCGTCCAGTCGCAACATTAATCAACAATCAGGTGTTGTTGCAACTTTTCAAGGTCAGCCACTGGAGCAGCTATTCCCTTTCCGACCCTGGGGGTACAAAGAGCTTGGATTGGATTTGACCGAGAAATGCACAGGACGCTGAAAGAGGAAGGCTTGTAGGTCCTTGACCCCAGGACTATCCCCGGCTCTCCCCCATTCCCGGCTGCCCGCTGCCAGGCATGGGTGCGCGGATGACATGTGTTTGACCGCAGCAAGTTAGGCAGCAGGTATAGGTTCACAACTACAGCCTAGCCGCCGGTGCGCCCTCCTCAAGCCATGAGGGACCAGGGCGCGCTCCTGGCTCGCGCATCCCGGCTGTTGCTTCTGCTGTTGCTCAAGATTTCAGTGTCCGCCCTGGATCTTGCTCCTGCTCCCAGAAACGAGACTTGTGTGGGAGAGAGCTGTTCACCTGCTCTGATCCAGCGCCGCTACAGGGATGCTTGGGGACCAGGAAGTTCTGCAAGAGATGTTCTTCGAGTCCGCGAGCCCGGGGCGCAGCCGGAGGCAGCGGTGCGCGCAGCGCCCTCCTGGGACCTCGGGGCAGCCGTGGGCGTTGACCCAGGTGCGGGCGCAGGGGCGGAGGCGACTGTAGCCAGGCCCCAGGGACCTCAACTTGGCACAGGGAGGAAGAGAGGTTCCCGGGGTCAGGAGCGCCCTGGAGGGCTAGGGCGAGGGGATCCTGTGGCCCTCCAGCTCCTCCTTCAGACCTCAGAGGAGGAAGAGAGGAGTTCCAGAGGTGCTAGCATTTCCTGGCACAGTCAGGAGCAGAATGTGAAAACGGAACCCGGAGCCAGCGATCTTTTTTACTGGCCCAGGAGAGATGGAAAACTCAGGAACTCCCACTACAAACCCTCACCCGAGTGGGTCAGCGGACCCGCGGGGCACGAAGGTCGAACTCTTGCACCCCCTGGCAGGGCGCTAGCCCAGAATGGATCCTCGGGTGAGGATGTCCAGGACCGCGGGGATCCTCGCCGGGGGAACAGTACCAACCGTCGTGTGAGGTTGAAGAACCCCTTCTACCCGCTGACCCAGGAGTCCTACGGAGCCTACGCCGTCATGTGTTTATCGGTGGTGATCTTTGGCACTGGCATCATTGGCAACCTGGCTGTTATGTGCATCGTGTGTCATAACTACTACATGCGGAGCATCTCCAACTCCCTTTTGGCCAACCTGGCTTTCTGGGACTTTCTCATTATCTTCTTCTGCCTTCCACTTGTCATCTTTCACGAGCTGACCAAGAAGTGGTTGCTGGAGGACTTTTCCTGCAAGATAGTGCCCTATATCGAGGTAATGCCTTCTGGGGGGTCTCAGACCACTGGCTTTATCTATTTCCAAGATTATGGCAACAAAGAACTTCCGTGGACCCCCTACCTGGCTGGGCCCTTTTGTCCTTTCTTTGGGTTCCTCTTTCATTTCTTTCCCTAATCGTCTATGCGAGCATGTGTTTATATAAAAATAGATACAGCCCTGATAAATTACTTACAAATTCATCTGCTCCTAGGATGTGCAAAAATCTCAGTAGAAAAGTGCTTGCTTGGCAAGCACAGGGTCCTGAGTTCAATCCCTGGTACTGAAAAAAAAAAAAAAAAAAAGATGATCGCATGATGTACACTATTGTTTGGATACTTGTAGATTTATCTCTCTGAATGTGGTGCTATGCACATTTCTTGATGTGGCAACCACCAGAGATTGTAGGGTTAAAAAATGACCAGCTCACGTTTGTCCATATCAGATCCCAGCAGGAAAAAAACCCCCTAACATTTGTCTACTAGATTTCTAATGCTTCGCAGTTATCTGCTCCTTCCCCAGGAAAATGATGGCATTTTTTTTCTTTAATTTGAAAGTTAGAGTAACACCAACAAAAGTACTTTTTTGTCAGTTGGCCTTCTGCTATATTAATAACCTCTCAAATCAGTTTAAGTGTCAGGCTGACTTCCAGATTATTTCATCTAGACTCTTAGATAATTTCTTGTTTTCCTTTTTTATCTTCGCAATTTTATTCTTTTTATGTGAATGAACGTAAGCAAAAACTAACACTCTTGGCACCCTGTGGTTTTCAAAGTCTGCAGCATATAGTTGTCATTTGTTGTGTGTATAGCAGGAGGATTAGTTATTTGAAGGGACTGACTCCAAGACTAGTAAATTCTTAAGGATGAAGGAGGCATGTAACAGTTTCCAAACTTTGGAAAGGACAACTGTTTTTATTAAGGTTTTACTGCTTTTTCTTACAGCTAGTGTTCTGAGCAGTTACTGTGATAGTTGGAATTTGCTCTTTAAATGGCCTCTCTTTAAACACCAGCTCTTGGAAGAGGCCCAAGTGTCTTGCTGCCAGTTGTGTTTTTAGCCAGCTGGCCCTTGATTTTCTTCATTCAGCCTGTCCATTTCTTTTATGGAAGCAGAAGAAGGGAAACTAAATATTCCAGAGCCCCTGATCCTGCCTGGCACCAGGGCCAGTGACATTATGTTCAACATTGTTCCAGGGCCTAAAATTGGAGAAGTAAACAGAAAACAGTACCCACTTAGAAGAACCAAAGCAAGAGACTGTAAATAAGCCCCTCTGTTACCCTGACATGGATTAGATGCAGAGTCATTCCACGGCTACTGAATCAGCTGTTGCCACTTCACCAGAATCCATGATGCCCTGGTTGCCAAGGTTGAGGTAGCTCTACTTTTGTCTGGGAGACAGTTCACTCCTGAACTTGGGAGAAAGTGATGGAACTTATGTTAGACAACACATGTCTGTCTGCTAATCATCTTTCACAGGTCAATTTCAGTTTAGGATTTCTCTGATGGTTTATTTTAATAATACAGGAAAATAGACTCATGCAGGAAGGACTCTAAAGTGAACAGGGGAGCTATTCCAATAAGAGAGAAGTGTATTGGCCTATCCCACTAGAAATCATTAGTACTAGACAGGTGGATACTTATTTGTACGTTAGGTGGAAAAACAAAGGAGAATTAGAAGAAAGAAAGTGGGGAAGAATCGATTTCTAGAGTTCTTGAAAGAAACTTTCAATGAAAAAGAATCAACTGTCAAATTCAGGAAGAAACATACAACTTTAGCCTTATGAGACCTCACAATGTCACGCAATAATGGCATTGGTTATGATTTGGTTAACTTTTTTTCTCACTAATTCTGGGGGTTTTTAAAAAAATATTTTGGTACTTTTTTGTACTTGTGTTTAGCTATATTTTCTGGTTCTTAATAATATTTTGCTTTTAGCACTTTTGCTGTTAATAAGATATCTGTTCATAGTTTTGTTTAGTTTTTCCCTATTTTTTTTTTTTCTTTTTCTTTTCCAAAACTGGGGATTGAACTCAGGCCCTTGCACTTGCCAGGGAAGCACTTATTCCACTGAGCCACCTCCCCGGCCCCGTTTTTCCCTATTTTTATAGCCCTCTCTCAGTTATTCATTTTAGACTATATTTTTTTCTAAAGAAGAAAATAGCTTAAAAATTCAATTCTTTTTTAAAACAATTATATTATATATTTTGAGTAATATATACTTTTTACTGTTACAGGAATAAATGGCAATCTTAATATGGCCCTACCTTTTATTCCTTATAAATAATTTTATAATATTTAGCATTTTTACAAATGTAATTGTTAGAAATAGTATCAGATTTATCATTCCTCGTTACTGAGAACGACAGTCCATATTTCAGAGTAAAACATTTCTACCTCCCAGATCCAATGCTGCTTTCACAGAATTAACAGAGATTTAGTGCCTGCCCCACGTCAGATTCCTGAAGAAACAGAACTGAGATGGAGATTTACTGGGCATCAAGTTCACTGGGGCATGCTTTGTGGCTCAAAAGTGTTAGAGAATACCTAAGGAATTTCCAAAGGAAACAGGATTGGAAGACATTAAACTGTGCTGCAGTGGCTACAGAGGCCCCAGCTGACGCCATGAAGAACTGAAGGGCTGATATGGCAGTGTAGAGATGTTCTGAATTGAGCTCAGAGGGCCTAGCCTTATATTTCTCACCGAATTACTCATCAGACACCGGTTCCTCCCAGGAATGAAGCCTACTCTTGAGGTAGGTGGACCTCTTTGTCAAGGTCAGTTGTTAGAGCGGGATGCTTTTAAGAAGTTGAACCACTCCACAGCTGAAGGAAGAGGCAGTGCCTTATTCCTAAAGAACTTCAGGAGGGAGGATTCTGGGTGGAGAACCATAGTATCTGCTTCTGTGAGTTTTCAATTACCATGTTAAATCAGAAACAGAAGGCATTCTAATGAAGCCCACGCATTTTAATAAGGAATCTTAGGTTAGAGCAGGGAAATAACTGTCCTGAGAAAATATAGTTAATCAGTGGCAAGTGGACATTAACCTAAACGCTTTGTGTTGATGTTTTTCTTAGTACTAATGAGGCAAAAGTCACATCTACTGAGTGTTTTTGTTTGTTTGCCTTTCTTTCTGCTCCTTAGCATCTTTGAAAAATGTTTCTATATCTACTAAACAGACAAAAATATATTTGCTAATAAATGGGTGTTGAACCTATTCAACAGGCACTGAAACTGGAAGGCCAGTTGATACAATTTGCACTATAATGAAATTTGTGACTTTTTCCTATTCTTAAGTTTCATCTTATTTGTCATAAACACAGCAAATTCAACAGATGGTAGCTGATTAATTTTTTTAAAAAATTGCAATAACATGAAACAGATACACATGTTGATATGTCAAACATGATTATTTTAGTCATCAAATAAATTATATGGGTTGGATATTATGTTCTTAAACTCACACAATGTGTTAGATTTGTACGCTATTACAGATGTGTTGCACTTGTTGAAATGTTCTCCCAAATCTCCATGTATAATGCTCTGATCCTTGACCTTAAAATCTCCAAAAACCATCTGGCGCTCAGACTTTTTCATGTTTCTAGATGTTTCCTCTTCTTCAATTTGTACCTATTTTATTCATTGACTATTTTTTTTTTAAATTTGACCATTTTCTTAATGTAGCCTTTATCATTTTTCCAGGAATGTAGCTAGCATTTTTCAAAATAATTTCACTGTTAAGTTTCTTTTATTTAAAATTTTATTCACATTTTTTACTTCTCATTTTCTTTCCCCTCTTTTTTTTCTTTCTCCTGATTTTCCCTTTCTGCCTACATGTTTCATTACTTTTTGCTTTTATCAGTTTGGATGCTATCATGATCTGAGAATTGGGTTTGTATAGCAAAACGGGAGCTTTTTTCAGCAAAAACTACAGACTACAGTTTGTTGATTTCATCTTATTGGCCTAAGGCATGAAAGCAGCATCTAGCTTCTGGCATCTAGCTAAAGATCTCAACATGGCTTTAATGGCAGTGTTCTGAGAACTGTTAACTTCTGTAGATAACTTCTCCATTTTTCTTCTAGAATTATGATGTCTCAGAAGAACCAAGGGCAAAGATAATAGGAGGAAAAGTGGGGATAAGAGAGGAGCGAATTTGGATGGAGGGAGGCCATAATCAAAGATACAGCATTTCAGAGCCAATGAGATAGATAGCTCAGCAGACTAAGTGGCTGCTTTGGCAAGCACAGGGACCAGATTTGATCCACCCCAGGGGGATGCTGAGCTGTGACTGAGACTGGGTGTGGTGATGCACGTCTGTAATCCCAGCTCTGGGGAGGCTGAAAAGAGGAGAATTGCTGAGTCCAAGCTGCGTAGTGATACCCTGTACCAAATACATTAATGAAAAAAAAAAAAAAAAGGATGCAGCATTTCAAAGTAACTTATCAAAAAGATACCAGAAGAATCAGTGCTTTTTAAAAAATAGTTGTATGTCATGCAATAGTGGGATGGGATGGAATGGGATGGGATGGGTGTGTCTGCGTGTTTGTAGATATGGATACGGAAGGCTGTATGTGGGCTGCAGAAGGCCAGTGGTGAAGGAGCTCCCTACCATGCCATTTACTTAAGAATTTTTTTTTTTTTTTCAGAATCGGGGATTGAACTCAAGCCCTTACTCTTGCCAGGGAAGCGCTTATTCTACTGAGCCATCTTCCCGGCCCCTAACTTAAGGATTGAACAAATGTTTAAAGCTATGTAACTCAAGTATCATATATGTCAACTGGAGTAGCTCTTTGCTCATTACTTGACGGATCACAATTTTACATAGTTATTACTAAAGGTAGAAAAAGTCAAGTGAACACCATACTCCATATAATTCATGTTTTGTTTGTTTGTTGGTTGGTTAGTTTGTTTGAGATTGTGTCTTGCTATGTAATGCAGGCTGGCTTTGGACTTACTGCACAGCCCAGGCTGGTCTTGAATTTGTGGCCATTCCCCTGTCA